ATGTAAACTAGTACAGAATGGTTTCGCGTAAACTTATACGTAGGACTTTACGTAAACTTATTCGTAACCACTTTACGGAAACTTGTACGTAACATTTCTACGTAAACTTATACGTAGGACTTTACACAAAGTTATACTTAAAGACTTTACGTAAACAAATACGTAACCGCTTTACGTGAACTTATATGTTGGTTTTTATGTAAACTAATACAGAATGGTTTTACGTAAACTTTTCCGTAAGGGTTTTTCCGTAAACCCTTCTACGTATACGTCAAACCATCTCTCTCAAGATGAACACATTAATTACAAAATACACAAATTCGGGTAGCAAAGCACAAGCTGATCGGACTCATTTCATTAAGCGTGAAAAATCGCTAAATTTTCCCATTGTCTGTGCTATAATTTCTTTTCCATTTTAAGCTACAAACCTTTTATCTCGGTCTTTACACAATTTTTTTTTTTTGTTGTGAGTTGGGTGTGTGTCGTAAACAATTTTGACCCCTTCATCGAGCCGGTATGTAGAATGAATAAATATGTATATACAATAAAAAAAAATTATATTTTGTCAGTCGATTGTCTCTCTCTCACTCCCGATCAGTCTTGCTCTCTGTTCATATAGCTGCTATGTTGAAAAAAAAAATATCAAAAAGTAAAAACACAACAATGCAATACAAGAACAAAAATTCTCAATTGTACGATGAGGAAAAAGTATAAAAATTAAAATTTAACTGATTTTTTCACGGTTGGAAAATTTTGTGAAATAAAAATTGTTGAGGAAAAAAATATGTAATTAGGTTGCTGTTGTTGCTTTAAAGAATATACAAAAATGTGCTTGTATGTGAGTCGAAATGCTTTTAGTTTAAAATTCGAAAATATCGAAGACGAATAAATTTATATCACTGATGTCTGATGAAATTTAGGAACAATAAGAGAATTATGGGAGGCAGATCCTACTAAATTCACATGATAATCATTTATGGAATCATTTGAAATCTATAGTTTTTTAAAAAAAATTAAATACATGTTATAAAGATCAAATGATTGGCAGGGCTTGAAAATTTGTGGATGTTACTTTGATTCGCAGAGGATTCTAAACAAGGAGGGAGATGGAACCTAACTATTAAATTCTTACATTCATGAATAGATCAAAATATAGGTCAAGAAGTTTCAATTCTCGATGTGAGGTCATCTCGACCAAAACCGTCCATACGTATTACATTGACCTTCCTTAGGAATAGCAATGTTATCCATATGAACGATTATAATTACTAGGGATGTCATTAAATCTTTCTTTACCTTAGGGGTCGTTCTCTTATGACGTCCATCAAAAACTTGATTTTTAGACCCCCCTCCCCCCTCTGTCACAAAAATTCTATAGAAAAAAATTTCCATTGTTTGAACTGTCACAAAATCCTAGACCCCCCTCCCCCCCTAAATGTCGGACGTCATAAGTGAACGGTCCCTTAAAAACTCACCTGAAATCGGAAAAAAGCTAGAAAAGTCACTTGGGCCCTAATCCAACCCCAGGGGCGTAGCCAGGAATTTGAAGAGGGGGGGGGGGGGGGGTTACAAAAAAATTTTTTATATAAAGTTCAGAGGGAAAGGGTTGATTTTTATGATTTTTTTTTATAAAACTCCTAGCAAATTGAAGAAATTTCTGTCCCTCAAATCCCCCCCCCCCCCCTTGGTTACGCGCCTGCAACCCCTTATACTTCAAAAAAGTGATTCATATAACAAATATTACAGACGTAAAGCTTTATAATTTATTATAATTTTATACTTTAACAAAACGTATTTCTCTCGGTTCTTCTGCCGCGCTTACCGACTCTCTCTCTCTCTCGCATTGTTGATTCTCGCATCAAAGAGTCACATCACTTTTGCCTTCTTTACCTTCATATATATTTATTTCTTAAGTGATACACATAATTTTTCTTTTTCACTGATTTTGAAGGTGAAATCTTACAACAGAATGCGTTACACAACATATATTTCGCATGCATTGCTCTTGAAACTCTCGCTTATAAAGTTTGTAAAGATTTTTTTTTATATTAATTTATGTACATACATGAATGCATTAAATCATAAATTAATGAGTCAATCAAGACGGAGGCCTATCAATTAAACATTAAAATGTTCTTTCTTAAATCTTTACTACTTGTTTTCGGTTATTATAACAACAATATATGTTTTAAATACAACACTATTAATGATCAGGGATGAAGAATTGATTGCTTAATGAATTAAAAGCCCGCTCATTCTATTCTTATGCTGTATTCAGCTATGATGACCACCATGATTTGCTTTTCTTCTATTCATCTGTACTTAAAATATGATTCATTCAATGATGCCCCGATTAGCCTGTTAAAGCATGTACGTTTAGCATGTTTTGTGGATGGATTATGTGGTTCGGTGTTTGGTTTGACTTTATAAGGGGTTTTTGGTCTATAGTTGATTGAGTTTTGTTGAGAATTTTTGAAATTTATGATTTCTAGAAATTCAAATAATTAAGATACGTTAAAAATTCAAAATTTCAAAAAACGTTAAATATTTAAATTTAAAAAAATCCGTTATTATTTATTCATAAATGCGCCTTAATCAATAATCAGAATAATCAAAAAAAATCCATGCTAGTTCTTTGTAAATTCATCCTATGAATATGTACACATGATATGAGTATGAAGAAAAGAAGGCGCATTAATGAAATGAACGACTTCAACTGAAACACATCATAGATTGATGAAGTGTACACTTAATAGTCCATGGATTGAAAGTTCTTTAAAAAAGAAGCAAAAATCAATTTATTTTAATTCTATTTGAGTATCAAAATTGTCTGCACGGACAGATACACATAATATTATGGAGTAGGCACTTGAGATGAAATAAGAACTGAAAAAAAAAATTGTTGTGGATTCATAAAAAAAATATATAGAAAATTGATGATGATAAAACTCATTAAGTTTATGAGTGCTAGCTGAGTTGATGAATGAATTGATCGTTGCCTGTATGATGAGAATTAATCAATGAAATTATTTGCAACGTTATGATAATTTAGAAATTGCATGTGAGGCTTAATATTTACATTCTCACACATTTGAAAATTATCGTGCAGAGCTTTTCAATGTTAAGTGATGAATTTCATAACTGGGATTAAAGCTTTTAGCTGAGATTAAGTAATTTAGAAGGATTAAAGTAATAATTCGTAAAACCGGATCAAATTGGAATTGGTTTTACAAATAAATTAAGAATTTAAGAAAAAAAATCATGCCTGGATCTTATAAATTCAATTTAACTCGAGTTTCACTTAAAAAAATAATTAAATTAAAATTTGCAGACCTGCAGCTCTACAAAATTCTCATCAAAACATTTCCAGCCAAAAATGAGTCTAATTAACATAAACTTGTTAAATTCTCAGACATTCAGCCAGCATTTTCAAAAACCCGCAAAAATTGAGCAAAACAATAACAGATTTAAATCAAACCCGTCTGAAGTTAAGCCCACTGAATAGTCACTTGACTCAACAGCACTTCTCGCAGAATCTCCAACAGTATAGAAATTAATTTACTTAAATAACTAATTTTCTTGATGATTTATTAACCGCTATTTTGCGGTTTCGTGTTGTCGACACATGACTGTGAGGATTTGTTTTTCTTAACTGATAGGTTTTTGTGTTGTTTGATTTTATTCATTATGTGGTGAATGATAAATGAATGATAGCGTTGCTCTGTGTGTGCAGACATAAACATTAAATGAGAAAAGTGAGTCAGTTGATTCTAAAAGCCCATGCAGCATTACATATACGAAAATATACTTTGTTGTACTTGTCAAAACAAAAAATAACATCATCGTAATGTAAAGTCATTGCCTGCTTCTTCTTCTTCTTCTCAATAATCTTAATATCCATTCATCTCGTTAAGGAGATGTTTCAGCAAAATAAAAATGTAATTATGATGGCTTAAAATGATTGCCTGTTGCCGTATTGCTTTTGCACTTTTTTCTGTTCATTCAAACCACAATATAGACTTAAAACAATTACCAAAGCCACTAGAAAATAATTATGACGTTCTTATTGAGCATAGAGAATAGCAATAAATGATGATAAACGATCTCTCGTCTACTGTGAAGAAAATGAAAAGCAATGAAGCTGACGAAGTAGCTGGAGAAAGAAATCTGTGGTAACGCCTTCAAAAAATGAATGAATGAATGAAAAGTAGACTTAAATATTATGAGAGAAGTACCCGCGATGTCGTGCATTTTTAAAATCCGAGAAATAGTAAGAAAATTCTCGTGGATTAATGACGTATGCGGCGAATTTTAGAGATTGATCGTTTTTGGTGGGATTTTCGAAGAATCACTCGTTTTATAGAGGGTTTTGGGTAATGTCTAGTGATGTGAATGGTGCCAGTGATCAGAATTAGAAAATTGGGTGGAAGGGGGGGAGGGTGAAGAGAAGTCCACAGCTAAAACGTTAGCCATTGATCACGACTTAACGAATTGAACGTTAATATAAGAAAATTGTCAGTTTACTCAGGCAGTTTATCATGCATACGATAGCTTAAACCAGAATACCAGTCTTTAGACATTGCAGCTCAGGTAGACAGAGATTAACTGTTAATATTCATTTTATGCAAATGTTTTAAAATTTCCATCAAGAAGTCAATTTTTAAGCAATAAAGGCCACCACATACTTAACAATTATTTAACCAGCTTTGATTTACAATCCTTCAACAGTAAACCATCCAAAGCGATGCTAATAAACACTTATAACATCATAAAAATCGCCCTCAGATGCGACTTTCCTTTTCGTCTTCTTCTGAACGATAACATGTAAACATTAAAATGCGATTTTCGTCATTAATTTTCTGCTATCTCATTCATTACTCTGGAATTCTCATCATTTCCATGAGCTTACATTATATCCAACGAAACTGGACATTAATCACAAATTTATTATCTTTTAATTGCATTTTAATTAATTACAACATTTTAAACTCTTCTTGCAGATCAACCGCAGATGCCACCGCTGACGCCTGGAACAAATAAGAAACTGACTGAAGCTCTACATGCATCGTTTGCGTCCTGGGAAAAAGAAGTACAATCATATAAAATTACCAAAGGTATGCGCCATTGTCTGTATATGTGATAAATAAGTGCAATTTAATTAATGCTCAGCCAGTATTTTTGACATATTTATAAATGAACACCTGCCTGCTATTCTGAGAATATTTTCTCTTACAATTTCAATGTCATAAACGTATAAAGAAGTTCTTTGTTGCCTCTCCAAAAAGAAGTAAATTTTGTGCTTTGTTTTTTTGACCGAACAACTCTAATAAAAATTTAAAATCGTCTTCATTCACACAAATGCACATGGAGTATGAATATCCAGCACACGATGATGTTATTCTTTTTGATTCTGATTTTACATCATCATTTTCAACCAAAGATTTATTATTTATTCAGTTTCATTAAAATGCACTCGCTTTTTTGCGTAATTTTTGCTGCGATTTCATCAAATGCTTTATTTATACAGCTTTAAAAAAAATGTTGTGTGGAAAAAGAACCTCAAATCGCATTTAATACAATTTTCATATTATATGAGTTGTGTGTATATCGAAAAATAAAGAATAAAATTTAAATTTTAAATTAAGGTGAAGCATTTAATTTATTATTATACATTTTTTTTACCTTACCTATTCCGTATTTTGTTGCGCTTCTTAGTGGAGTTATTAAAATTATATTTTTTTGCAAGGAATAGGAATTTTTTTTCTTCTAAGATTATTTTAATGCTGAGTCTCTAGGTTTGGACAGAACATGAGATAAGATTATATTAAAACCTACTCAAACTAGAAAATGATGAGACTAGTCCTTAAATATTTAAAACCAGTTCGTCTTGAGTCTCTAGCAGGGGGGTCCTTAGATGCCCGGACACCCCCTTAAGATTGAAATTTTATAGAATTATTTTTGAAATACTTTTTTTAAACTTTAAATCGCAGTTAACATACTAAAAGATAGTAGCTCAAACTTAACCTAGCTAATGCAGAAACCTAGTTAACATCACTTATTTGTTTAACAAACCCAAGATTCCCATAAATTCTATCAATTCCCAAAAGTTCCTCTCCCTTTCCTCACTCAACATATCTCAAAAATATCAACAATTTTCCATCTCCTTTGTTGAATTCAAATAAAAACAAAAGAAGCGATTAAATTATTACTTTTGTCGAGGAATCAGCAAAAAGGCACAAAAAATGTATAATATACACAACACGTAACGTTAATTTTAATGTGAATCGTCTCGAATCTTTCTTTGTAAATCAAGCTATTATGGAAATTATCGGTCATTTTAATTAAAAGGAAATTTGCATTCAAATGGCAATCAAAAAAAATCGTTCATGAACTCTATCAGCTGGAATTAACAATTTCGGGAGTTATAATTAAATATGTTTTTGCGATGCACATTTTAACATGAGCAGTTTCCCGCATGCCAAAATTGATTTAAATTTTCAATGTCAAAAAAAAAATGAAGACGAGCGAGACACAATAGAATAACTGCTTATAGTCATTTTGAGTGGGCCGCTTGCTGATTTTGATTACTAAACAAAAGAAATCTCAGACATTAAATTAAAATTTTAATTTTTCTCTCTTTACAGATCCTCGTCAATGGACACCCGAGCATGTTCTAATCTGGCTCAACTGGGCCAAGAAAGAATTTTCATTAGAAATTAATAGTTTTGAAGCATTTTTCAAAATGCATGGACGTGATATTGTAGGACTGGGTCGTGAAGGTTTCTTAGCAGTTGCACCGATGTACACGGGAGATATTCTCTGGGAACATTTAGAAATTTTATTAAAAGGTGAGCCATTCTCCACGAACTTTTAAATCTGATTCCATTACAAATTCAGTTATTACTATTATTAAAAATATTCTACGCATTAAATATAAAAGAAAATAATCACAAATTTGAATAACAATAGACGTTGAATATTTTCAAATGCTACGTTTTTATACTCGAATTTAATTCTATGATTCTAAAGTTGGTAACAGAAGAGTAAATTCTCGAAAATAAACCAATCAGAAAGATATAATTTTCATAATGTATACATCTAAAATGAGAGAGTGTTTCGATGGTAGCACTTTGATCTTTATCGTTGTGCTGAAATGGAAATTTTTCTCATACTAGACCCGATTTAAGATGGGTGTGATTGGTAGTCACAGGGAAAAAATATTTAAAGATTAAATTTGTTTTGCAAATTTTGATTCAATTATAAAAATTTACTTACAAAGACAACTTTATAACTGCAATCTAATGATATATCCCGAGCGGCACAAAGGCTCCATTTGCCTTCCATATGGAAGCTATACGGAGCCTCCATGTTCCACCCTCCATTTGAAAATCTTCCGAAAACCTTACTATCATGGAACTTTGACGGAGCCAAAGCTCCGAAAATCCTCCGTGGGACGTGCATTTATTAACACCAAATGGAAGTCATTTGAGAGGTTTTGATGGAGGATGGAGGATCCATTTGTGGTAGTCAAACGGAGGTTTAATGGAAGTATTTTTCAAAGGATTTTTGGTACGATTTTCCACGTGTTTTTCTATGTTTCACAATTTTTATATCAAGATTTGTAGCTGTATTAGTGGACTTAATTAAAGTACACTAACACTATTGAAAAATTTACAACTTAATTTAATTAAGTCGCAACCACAGCAATTTCTAAGTCTCGATCACACGCGTGAGAAACATAAGAAATTATTAAAAATTTTCATACAAATTAAACGACCCCATATAATAGTGATTTCTGCATGCGCTTGTGAAGTATGTAATTTCATACAAAATCACAAAAAATTATCCTTTTTTGCTTTTTTAAAGCTTGAAATGAAGCAATATGATTCAGTAAAGCTTTTCGACAATATTTCAATCCATTACAGTAAGATCTGACCTTTGTCTTTTAAAAATTCAAAAGCACGAGTTTTTCGGTATTTGATTTAAGAAAAAGCGGAGTTCATATGGAATCCAAATGGAATCAATATGAAGGATGAAAAAATAACCCTCCATTTACTTCCCACATAGTGGAGGTGGCTTTCACATGGATTCCATATGGAGACCACCCTCCACCTTGTGCCGCTCGGGTATCTATATAAATACATCAAATAATAGCTACATCATTCCAACAATGCCAAAGAAGAAGCGACCCTTTTGATTTTTTCTTTAATTCCATTTTAAAATTACAAAATATAAAATTGCAACAGAGAAAAAAAGAGAAACATTAAGAGCGACTTGTTGCTGCACATTTAATTTAATACTGGATCAATTGTTAAAATCAAATTGCATGTTACTTGATTGAGTTGAATGAACAGCAAATAAACATGAAAATTCAATTGAATGCCTTAATTTGGTTACGATATACAGATAGAAGGAAAAGGGTTGTAACCTTTCTCTGGCATTTTATTTTTGATTTAAAGCTGAAAAATTGAAATCGGAAATAAGAAAGGGTTGCAGTTGGTCTTGTTTGTAGCATAAATTTCAAATAAAATTTGTTTTTGATGAAATCACTAGATTCTCTTAGGTTTTGGAATGCAGTTATTTTTTTGCCACTTTTTTAAAGCCTTTAAGACCAAAAATACAGCAGATCCATACAATAAAGAGTGTTTTTTACTAAAAATACTTTTTGAAGTGGTACAAAATTCAAAATGGAGTTAACTTAATTTAAAATTCAAAAATCCGTTGCAATTTGTTAAATCATTCAAACCTGATTATGCGTTTCTGTTATCAACTTTAACTTATCTTTTCAAAATTATTCCGTTTATTAAATTTCATGATAAAATTGCTCAACTCATGCTGACGCCTGTTGAATCAAAAAAAAAATTTCTTACAATTTCATTGAATTTCCTTTCTTAAGACTTAATATACAACACGATAAGAAAAATTGTCCACTTGCTGACATTTCCTTCTGCATAAGTGAAAAATTACATTTGTCGAATAAATTTGATTACATTTCTAACATGCAAAAATTTCTATTTCTTCCTTCCATCGAAACAGATTGTGAAAAGTCATCGTCGAATGACGGACAGAATTTATATGAAAATGTAAACACAAATACAACGACATCATCAACGGACTTAAGTGATTTCATTAGCAATAGTAGTACTAGCAATACACCGACAACAAATACGAATTCATCATCAAATAACAATAGTAGCAACAATAGCAATCAATTAAATGGACAAGATAACTTTCCTGCTGGTGGTAAGTACAAGCAATTCTTTACCTCTGTCACTTTTTGTGTATACTGTGGCTCTTCAAAAAAAAGAACATTTTTTTTTTCTTCAACAATTGTTCAACGAGATTATTTAAATTTCAAAACGGTCAATGGCAATTGTTGAACATGAAATGAAACACAACAGAAAACTTTGTCGAATTATGAATGAAAAATGTGGCTGAGATGCCTGTGGATGTTAGTATATGAGGCGCATTTGGTGCCAATATCTAGAAAAATTTGTTATGTTAACCATTTTGGTGCGAATTAATTTTTGATTTAAACTTTTAACTGTCAATTAAGACAAAACGAATTAAAAGAGCTGCACAATCAGGCAATTAAAGTGTGAAAAAATTTGAGAAAATAGAATGTACAACACATTTTTGTACATCTACAAAAAATAGTGAAAAATTGTTTTAAACGAGCGCTATATTCAATCGTACATCAAACAACTGTATTGTTATTATTATACGATGCGTCAATCTTTTTCCATAGAATATTTATTCATTTCACGACTCAGCTGACCGATTTGCATTGCGTTTTTAACTCCCTCAAAATAAACCTTTATTTCCATCTCACTTTCGCGTATCGTTGAAAAAATAATTCGAAAAAAAAAGAATTTAAAATTTTCGATCTAAAACCCATGTTTATTTCACGGTCGAGCTCGTTCTTTCGGTGATTGTTGTTGATGAGACATACACATATATGTATGGAATAGGCCATATTATAACACAAACGAATTGTCAGAGTCCACATATAATACAGAAACAAAAGAAAACTTTTTGTTCAGCTGGAAAAAAATTAATTCTGACCGAAATGAACAACAAAGAAACTCCAAAAAAAAATTTGAATTTTATGTAAATTAGATTTCGAGCCTGCCATGTAATTAAGCTCAACAAAAATTCTAATTTTATTTTTAAAATTTTAAGTGGTATCATATCGTACACATGAAATCCACAAAAATCACAACACTGTGATTATGGATAATTCTCTCGCGACATTAAGCTACAAATTGACTATGGAAATCGGCATTTTGTGTATTTTCGGATCTTTACCTTTTAGTTCTGAACTTTGTTTTGGATTCATCAGAAAATTGCTTTATTTTTTGGACATTTGTATTTAAAAGAGAAACAGAGTTTTAAAAAAAATAATTAAACTCTTTCGACCATGACAATAATGCGGTTCGGTGTCTGGAGGATTCACATTTGAAGTTTTTTGTTCTAATGAAGTCGGATCAGAGACGTACGAGGGATGCGAAGACAAAACAGCTGAATTTCGAATAGTTTCATCCATTAAAATAATAAGTTTAAAGTATTTTGACACAATGTAGCCACAAATCAAACCAAATCACGGTCACTGGCCATAAAATGCTCTTTGACCACTTGCACACATTCTACCTTCCCATCTCCGAATCAACTGTTTTCATATATTTTTATTTCAATGCAATAATATTCATTGTTTTGTGCCATGCTTATAATGATGCTAAATTATGCGTTTTCAAGTCTTCTTTTTTTTTTGTGTGTTATGTACACACATGTGTGTCTGAAAAGCTATAAAAATCACTTTGGTAACGGTTCCACTTCCGTCCATCCGTTTTGTTGCGCTTTTTTATTATTAAACATTGAAAAAGTGAGCAAATTAATTTTTTCTTTCTTTCTCCATTCTTTCATTTCCAATCGATGTGCGGAGATTTAAAAATCAGGCAGAGAAAGAAAGAAAGACAAAATTCCTAAAGGTTTTTTTGTTTAACTTCTAAATATGTGCCTGCTTATCCATTACACCTCACTCTTTCTCTCGTTTGCCGCGCGCAAAAATACAGCATAATTAGTTGATTGTAGTAAGATTGGCAACTATTGAGACAATGGAATATAAATGTAATGGCATAATATCAATGAAGAAGAAAAATGAAAAAAAAAGAGAAAATTGGAATATTGAAGTTAATAAGAAAATAATTAATCACTCTTGTGCAGCTCACGAGACAAACGCTTGCAATCACGCAACAAACATTGCAAATCATGCAGAAAATGCGCAAAATGAGATTTTTATGTACACATCCAACATTGTCAAACGTAGTTAAATGCCTATAAATTTATTTGCTGTACTATATACAACTAGAACTGATCGATTAATGAATCAATTTTTCATCGAGCTTCCGAAGCATAATTAAGTCAGAGAGGGAAACTCGGGCTCAAGATCATGTATACAGAATAGTAAAAATTCTATGAATTTCTGAGAAATTTGAATGAAGATCAGCAGATTAAAAATTGAAGAAAAAAGTCCCCCCAAACTACTTCCCTGCTGCCAAGTCTCCATCACTGGCTAATTATAAGTACATGTTTATATTATTGTATCATGTAAGTAAATGCGAAATGACAGCAGAAGAAAAAGTTGGATATGTCAATTGCGAATGCATAAACTTCTTCACATCCATCCATCCATCCTTCTTTATTTACAATCCAATTTGATTACGATTACTGGCCTGTCATTTTACTTGCTGAAATACTAACAAAAAGTAAATTAAGCTTTTTTCCATTGAACAAAATGAAATGAGTTCAATAAACTTGAGTGAATATTCATTCAGCTTAATTCATTGATGGAAAGCTTCCAACACTGCCAATCCGCCGGACACATACAATACGCTTAGTGTCTCTCTCTTTTTTTTCCATAAGTTGTATCATTAAAAATGTGCATAGTAGAGTGAGTGATTAAAATAATTATGATGCAGTAACTAAACTACACATTTTACCACTCTGAGGCTGTTGCTGCTGTTTTGTTCTTTTTCTTGGTGTTTTGCAAATATGAATGTTGCAGTGATGGAGCTAGGAGAGGGTATCTGGGGTCACAACCTTTGCTGTTATGAATATATAATGAGAAACTTGTTACACTAGTCAATATTATAGAAAGTCCAAAAATTGAATTTAGTTCAAAACGATGCTTTGCCATTACGAGCACTAGAACAGCTCTAAAAAATTATAATCCTATAGAGATAGCATCGATATGTGTGAAGCTATTAAGTCTAGTGTTTAAAGTGTGCAAACAGCGTTTTAAAGATCTTAAAGATTTTAAAGGATAACTATCAAAAGTTTCATACCACAAAGCATGATCAAGCATGACATTCCCGACAAAACAAACGAACAGACTCTCCAAGTCCATCAAACTCATCAAGAACATCTCATTATCCCTAAAATTTATCTGCATACAAACTTTATGCCATCGTAATGAGTCTGAAAATGAAAATTAGCAGTAAAGAGTTAAGAAACAAGTTATAAGCTGTACATGGCACGCAAGAAAGCATTTGTGCTTTTCATTTATGCATTTAACTTTAATGTCTATTAGCACATTTTTGGCGTGTTGTAAATTTAAATTGATAATGACTTTTTGGACATTCTCATAAAAATAAACGAATCTTGATAAACGAAAGAGAAAGAAACTTTAAAACCCACACATAAAGTCATTAAACGTTTTGCCTTGATAGGCCTTAAACACTTTTTATGAACGTTGACGAAATTATGGCAAATTATCAGTTGCTTTCATCATATCATTCATAGGGAATAATCGAACAAGGTCTCTTTTCAATCCTGTCGGTCAAAAGAATCGAGAATTCGTTCTGCATCGACTTATGCAAATTTTATCGCGCTATAATAAAGAGAAACTATTAAAATAGTTTAATTAATGCGCATAATCAAGCAGATGCAAGGAATCAGCAATAAATATTTAAAATAGTTGCTTCAAGCTGCATCATGTTGACACAACTCAACCGCACAAGATAATTTCTTATTTTGTCATTCCTTAAAGTCACAAAAAAAAAAACAAATTTATGATAAAGTGTTCTGCATACTTTATTTATTTTCTCTTATCAATATAACAACATGTTTTCTCAATAATGGGGAACATATGTATAGATTGTGGAGAAGGAAAAAAAACCGCACAGTGCCTGAATCAATTCATTCCTAGAATTCAACAACTCAATGATAAACATGTGTTTTTGATGCCACGTATAGTTGCTCCTCATTGTTCTTTCATGTTATTATTAGCATAAATTTCTTTGAAATTGATAGTCAATGCACTTTGGATGATTATGATGGAATATTTATGTGTTGTTATCTTATTGAGTGCTTGATAATAATGTCTGCATTGCAATAAGGTCTATCGAAGTTAGATGAGGGTCAAGGATAGGTTTTGAGAGCTTTAAAACTCTTCGTTGGATTATTTATAACATTTAGACATACTTTTCTGACATAATATGCTTAAACTTTTAAAAAACAGAAGTAACCTTTCTCTTAAGCTTTATATAACATCAAATCGACCTTAGAATGCGTTCTAGCTCCATTAAGACTACTCAAAATTCTAATCTTCTAGTTCATACTAATTCATTGTCAAAATATGAATAAAAATAGTTTGAAAGAGTTGATGGATTAGGCGTCAACATCCTATCGTTCTCTCTCGTGCTATTTCTATGTCCTTTTGTTATTCTACAAGTCGTAGACAAAAATAAACAAAAGAAATTCGCACGTGTTCAGAGAAAAATTTAAAAGAAATTTTCAATTTATTTTTCAATTCTCGAGAGCATCAAAGTGCGTATAAAAGGGAGCAATTGAGTTTTTCTTTAAATATCAAGAAAAAGGAGAGCACATTCATGTCAGTCAGCTATCAAGTTCCACATAAAAATTTCCAAATAAATTCATCGTCTTGTAAACAGTAGAGAATCATTATACATTCGAAGTAAGTAAGATTGTTGGAAGAACGCATTACTAACCTAAAGAGAGAAGAGAAGCGACTTCCGGTTCTGTCACATATCACAACATACACTTTATGCTTTATGCATTCTTCTTCATTTCTTTCTCTCTCCGCTTCCTTTCCTTTCAATATCCATATACTTTTATTTTTCGTACGTCTACATCAAAATGTGGGTCTTTCTTAAACTTTATTATTATTTTGTTAATAATGCACGTAGAACGATAATGCGCTATAAAAAAATGAAAAAGAAGAA